AGTGAGTAAGCAGTAAGCATTGCAGGAGCAGGCAGTTTTTATAAAGTTGGGGGCTTTTTAATTAGGCATAAGGGAAGCATACTGTTGGTACTAGTTTGTGTTAGTGAATCTCACAGAATCAAACAAATAATATAAAATTCACCTTTGGACTGAGACCAAATATAGAAAGACTCAAACCCAAAAGCAAAATTTCTGAGAAAGTTACAAGCGATTGAAAAAAAGAAATTCATCATGAAAGTCCATATGTAACCTTAACTACAGTGCAACCTCAATTATCCAAAAATACCAGGGAGACCAAAATCTTTGAGTAATCAGTGGAAGCTGAACCAGCAAGATCCTCTAAGATCAGACTTCAAAGTCTACTTCTGATGTTCTTTTCCCCCAGACCGTAGACACCCAAATACTGTAGCTTCCTCAAAGCTAGTTAGCTCAGCAGAATTAAACAATGAAATACCACTCAGACCCAGCACTAATGTCCTACTGTATTTTGCTGAGCCACCTGGCCTTGGGGGAATTCGCATGTGACCCCTGATTCAAACCTCACTTATCTGAACTACCCCATTCTCTGAGCCAAGATCCCATCACCCATATTAAGGATGGAGGGATTCGGGGTGCAGCGGACCTAGTTACAAAGAACTGAATTATAATTAATGCTCATTTCAAATCTTTCAAAACAAAACCCCAAGAGGGAATGACTTGTTGCAGAGCACAAGCCCTAACAGTTTAGGTTTATAATATTGCAGTTTAATTCTTTTCTGGAATAGTTTGGTCAAAGTTTTTTCTGTTTTTATCAGACTCGGATGAAGAACTAAACATACCCACTTGTCCTTGCCGGGCAATGGCTTGCGGAACCTCTTGTGTCCTGCAGAATGGTGGGACTCTGGGGAAGGCAGAGAACTCACGTTGAGAATCAATCCCTCATCTGTCTCCATGGCTTAATACACAGCTTTTGATGGGGGCCTTTATCTGCAATAAAACCACAGCCCTGAAGGACATTACTCCACAGAGACACCCATGCGACTGCAGAGAACTAGATGCTCCAAGGCAGAGTTTAACTTAGCTGCAGCTAGCTACACCAGACCCCACATGTGCTACCCACTCCCAGCTCAGTGAAGGAGGACCCCAAACATAGCTGTCTTGCAAAGTCCCCTAAACAGCAAATCGCAAAAGCACTTCTCTGGACAGATTATTACATTTTGAGCCACCAGCTCAGGCTCCTACATTCTTACTGAGAGGTGAAGGATTTAATTTGAAGGGCAGTGTTTAAAATCTCTCTCTCTCTTTTTGCAGTACCAATAAGACATTTAAAATCTCACCTACTTGGGCTGCTTTCAAACTGGGGGAAAAAGTGAAGGGAGTCTCTGTTTTTTGCAAAATAAATGATTAATGGGATTCTTAAAATATCGCTTTTACATTTGTAGAGCAAAATGCTTCTTTCCAACGAAAGCAGCTTTAAAATTACTTTACAATCCCTATTCCAAATATTTGCCATTTTCCTACTTTATTCTTCCCCAAATCTCTCCCAATCCCATGTATTTCAGAATTAAAATGCATTTCACTGTAAATATCCATGTGTGCAGCTTTCAGTATCCCCAGGACAATGGGTTGGCATACAGCATAAATCCATAAGGCCACCAAGTATCTTTGGTGAGGATGGGCAGCAGGTCATGTAACTACGCAGACCTATAGGTTGCCGTAAGGGCTGTGAGTTTGCCAGGGGCTGAGGATTCAACTGTTACAAATCCCGCATAGTTTCCACAGGCAAGCCTTTTAATTTGGATTTCACTTGGGTTCAGTGAGAACATAGTGTTTTAGTTTTATTATTACTTATTTTATTGGTCTTGTACCCAAGCGCTCCACTCATAGAGCAGGGCTCTACTGTGCTGGGTGCTGCACAAACACATAACAAAAAGACTCTGCCTCGAGAAGATTACAATGTCACATCTTCCATGTAATAACAGTAATTACCGTCAATGTAATATGTAGAATATAGTAATATTATTTAGTATACAGCTGCATTGTATTATTATTATTGCAGGGGACTGGACTAGATGACCTCTCACAGTCCCTTCCAGTTCTATGATTCTATGATTATTCATTAAATCTCTGCCATCATGTCATAACACTTGTTGACATTATTGTAAATTCTTCCCGGCATCATTTTGGATGATTGTTATTACAGGGCAATATACTTTTAGTTCACATGCAATATTAATAAGTATTGTTGTGGGTTATTATAATTGTAGCCCCCATGCAACATCGTTATTGAACACTATTATGGATAATACCACTCTCCCTCATGCACTATGATCGTGACTCTAGATTCTACCCACTCTAGTTATTGCTCTCATCCATTGCTGGAAGGCAGGGATTTTATTCAGGCAGCGGGTAGGCCACCCCTAAGCCAAGCCAGGCATGGGTCCTTTATGGTCGCGGTCTCGCTGGGCGCGGCGCATGCGCGGTGCGCTGCGAGCGGCTTGTGTGAGGCGGCGGCAAGATGGCGGCGGCGGCAGCTGGAAGTGGGGGGAGTCCTGCGCTGTCCTCGGGAGGGGAAGAGCCACCAGCGGGCCCCGAGTCGCCGGCAGAGGAGGCGGTGTCAGCGGGGCCGAGCGCGGGGTTCCGGCTGACGGCGGTGCGGAGGGAGCCGGCCGTGCGGCTGCAGCACGGCGTGAGCGGGCTGGAGCCGCTGGCCTGGTCTGAGGACCACCGGGTGTCGGTGAGCACGGCCCGGAGCATCGCCGTGCTGGAGCAGCTCAGCGACATTCACAGCGGCGGGCAGGAGCTGGTCATCCACCGCACGGCCGTGCCCGCGCCCGCCGCGGGCTGCCTGCTCAAGGTGAGAGACTGGGGACCCTCCTCTTCTGCCCTGGGGATGGACCGGGGCGAGACTGGGCCCCTCTCCCCGCTGGGGGCTGCAGGGTTGAGCGCCGCTCCCTCCCCACGCTCATCCTGGTCTTCTCCCGGTCCCCTGCGCTCTCGTTCGGGGCTTTGCCCATCGCCTTTTCCAGCCGTCCCCCCAAATGTGAGGCAGGAGCTGCCTCCTGAGGGAGGCCCCTTGGACCTGCCCATGGCCACGCCACTGACTATTCACAGCGATGTGACACCCCTTCGCCCCCCAGGGCTGCCCCACTCCCTACTCTTGGCCCCATCACCCAAGGGAGCGCTAGTCCAGTCCCGTTTCCACAGCTGCTGCTATTGTCTGAGGTTGCCCTGTGTTGGAGGTACATGTGGCTTTGTTTACTAGTGGAGTTTTTCTCACTCTGACTCCACCTCCACTGTTCCTCAGATCCAGGCTAATCCAGATAAGGATTAATTACTGGACAACGAATTATTTAGCCTGGGATAAACTTTAGGAGATAATTTCTTAATCCATGAGCACAGCCGTTGTATAGGGTCTGTGTCGACACACCAGATAAATACCCCTTGTACACAAACGCAAGAACAGGTTTTTGTCTGTAACCCTTTTTTTTTTTTTTAAATGGAGATGTACCTAGCTCATACAACTGGAAGGGACCTTGAAAGGTCGAGTCCAGTCCCCAATACCGTCCCTGACAGATTTTTGCCCCAGATCCTTAAATGGCCCCCTCAAGGATTGAACTCACAACCTTGGGTTTAGTAGATCAATGCTCAAACCACTGAGCTGTGCCTCACCATTTGTATGTGACAATACAAATTATTGCCTGTATATTCGCTGAGTCCATCTATGAATAGCTGGTTCACAATCAGGGCCATGCAAAAAATAGTATGGAGAATGTTCATTCTAAATGTTACTTTTTAAAAAAGGTTGTTGCTTTCCGTTTGCTTCTTGGAACAGCTCCTAGAGTAGACTAACTGCATCTTTGCCTATACTAGAGAGAGAAGGTGGGTGAGGTAATATATTTTATTGGACCAATTTCTGTTGGTGAAAGAGAGAAGCTTCCAAGCTTCCACTGAGCTTGTCTTCATGTCTGGGAAAGGTACTCAATGTCCTTTTTCTTCTACTTTCATTTTGTGTAGGGCACATTTCAGTGTGTTCTTGGTGTACTGTGTAATACAGGATAGTACTTTAAATGTAAATACTTATTTAAATAAAAATATTTACCTTGGTTATATCCTGAGCCTTCCTAATTCTTTATTTTCAGAGCCACTTCTTCTTTAAAAGAAAACTAAAACAGAATTTGCAAAAGTTAAACTTTATTTTGGATTTTAAAATTTCCCTGTAGTTTGTTTATACCACTATTAAAGCATTATTCCTAGTACATGAAAACCAGAAAGTAAAACTTCTAATCTGTTTTCCTTTCCTAAGAGGAACTATATACAGAAAGTAAAAAAAAAAAACATTAATAATAATAATAATAATAATAAGTAAATTAGACTTCCTAAAGCTTTTTCAGTTTTAAAGTATACTTGTAAAGTAGGCTAGGCAACGACTTGACTTTCTAACTCTTGAAAAAAGTTCGAGGCACTAAAGCATAAACGAAAACTACACCTGTGCTTAGCTTAGGAGTGTCCAAGTGAAATTATTTCAGTTTCAGTAACAAGAACAGGAGTACTTGTGGCACCTTAGAGACTAACAAATTTATTAGAGCATAAGCTTTCGTGGACTACAGCCCACTTTCAGTGTGCAACTAGCATGCATCTGAAAAAGACTGTAATTACAGCTAAGTTTTACTGACACTCTTGCTGGTGTCAGTCTTGTATGAGACTGCAAATCAGCTTCCATTCTACTCTAGTACTTGTTTAACTAGAAGAGTATTGATTATTTATGTAAATACTTATTTAAATAAAAACATTTACCTTGGTTATATCCTGAGCCTTCCTAATTCTTTATTTTCAGAGCCACTTCTTCTTTAAAAGAAAACTAAAACATTTTAATATTGATTATTTAAGCAAAATGCATTGTCATTTAGAAGTGCAGTGGGGAAGAATGTACCAAACAGATATGTGACACTAATAAGTTTACTTCATCCAGTGCACTAAATGCCTCAATAGCAACTATATGGGTGAAACCAGACAATCCAGATGTTCTCAAATGAACTCACATAGGAAAATGATAACACACAAAAATGCCCCATCACCTCCGAGCATACATGTTGTATAAAACAATCACTCCTCATCCCCAACACCTTCCAAAAACAAGTCTGGGAGCTTAAATTCAAACTTTGCTAGACACTAAAATCATGCACTGAACAGACACACTGCTGAAGTGAGGTTTTTTTACCCATGAAAGCTTATGCCCAAATAAATCTGTTAGTCTTTAAGGTGCCACCGGACTCCTTGTTGTTTTTGTGGATACAGACTAACAGGGCTACCCCGATACATTACAACAATTTGTAACTCACCAACCCCCCTTTTTTGTTCTTTGACTGCAAAGGTGTTAATGGGCCACTTCACCTTGAATGATCTCTTAAATTTAGGGTATGTGTTAACTACAGTCCTTATGCTAAATAATCTGTTCTACCTTGTACCTGTGACATTCTTAGTACCTTTCCCAGACTTTAAGAAGAGCCTAATGTAAGCTCAAAAGCTGGTCTCTTTCACCAACAGACATTGGTCCCAAAAAAATATTACCTCGCCAACCTTGTCTCTCTAATATGACACTAATATCAGATACATTATTTTGAGATTTGGTGGGGTGGATGTATAAACTGAGGTTTGGTCTCATTGCAGTCTCCTATATTGTATGCTATTTGCTGACTGAAAAACTATTTTTAATATAGTATGTGTGTCCTAACTGTGTTTATATCTGCATGACCGAAGAGTCCATTGAACCTGTTTTTACTGACGGCTAGCATATAAAGATTTAAGCCTGAAATTGTTGGCTGATTTTAGGGCTTGTCTACATTATGGATTTTTGCACCAGTGTAGCTACACAAGTGCAAACCTCCCCCAGTAAAGATGCACTGCCCCAATATTTGCAGCAGTTTCAAACTGAGGTAAGTTGCATCGATGCAGTGCATCTTCAGTGGTGCAAACTTCCATAATGTGAACAAACCCTTAAATGGCTTTTTAAAACCCTCATTTGACTAACTGGGTTAAACTTAAATGGAAAAGACATGGATTGTAAAACTCAGGGTGGTTGTTGCAGATTGACAGTGAGTAAACTTCAGTTGTTGTTATTAATGTAGGTTTCTTAGACT